GTTTGACCACTGGCCTTTGCAATAACCTAGGTGACCCACCACATCTTTCTGCTACCTCTGGGACTCCAGCATCACTTCCCACTCCGAGAAAAAAGAAGAAGAAGAAGAAAAAAAAGGAACTTGAGCTATTATTGTATGCAGCTGTCCTTACTTCCTTCCTCCTTCCTCAGACTGGGGTTCAGTGACGCACCCTGTCATGGGGAGCTCTGCAGGGCACTGTATCAACATTCTCACCCACTGCCGAGCAGAGCTGCACCAGACTTTCCTCTGGAACAAACACTTTCAATGCACTAACAACTTTCTTTGCTAGTTCCTCCCAAACAGGGCAGGTACCAATCCTCTACTTAGCATCCTTTTCTCGTTCGGCTTTTGCAAAAGCTGTGATTGTTTCCAGTCTTTTTGGCACCTGCCTTTCATTGTCTTCCTCACTCACTGATATCCCCTCCCATTTAAAAAAAAAAGAGGGAAAAACAAAATCTTTTAATATAAATATTCTAAGTTTGGGAGAATATAAGTGATTTTTTTAAATGAAATTTGCTCGTTATAATTTTTAAAAAGGAATTTCTTAAAGGAGTGTGTTGATAGGAAGAACATAAGTTTCTTCTGGGTGATTTGTTTCTTTTTGATAGCAGATGTAGCATGTCTTATTACAGTTGAATTTTATTTACACTGTTAGTCAATCTAACTCAACACTAACAGACCAAGTACAAGTTAGGACTGCTCAGGTCAACTGTTAGCAGTTAGCAGCATGTCCATCTCAATCCAGGCACAGGTTTCTTTCTGTTCTAATTGCCAAGGGCCCCCATTCTCATTTGCTCGGCCCACATCTGGGGTGTGTACAGAGGACGGGGAACAAAAGGTCACATTTATTTTATTTGGTGGGAACCTAATGCATGGTTTCTCCTGAGTAAAACGAGGAGAAAGCCGTTGGAACAGCCCATTCTTGATAGAGTCAAAGACTTTTTCTTTCTTTTCTTTTCTTTTTTTTTTTTTTCCTGACGAGCACTGAATACATTAATGGGCCTGTTAACCAGTTAAGTGCCTTTCTCCTCTTACTGGAAGGGCCTGGAAATTCAAGACCAAAGGAATCATAGGACAAGGACAGTGGCACCACTGTGCTAAAAAATGGTTTCCAAAAAAGACATTTGTCATGTTGAGAAGGAAAATGTTCACACCTCTAAACCTTTAAAAGGCCATCAGGCTGAACTGGGAGGCTGGGCTAAGATTTGAAATGCGTTTGCATTGGGTTGAATTATTTCCATACAATTAATAGAACAAAGAGTGTCAAGCTTTTGATCCTATTTTAAAAACAAAATTATTTATTACCTATCCCTCTTCCTGCTTTGTCGTCCCCTCCATAGCATGCAAATATTCCAGAAAGAGGACTAAACCTTTCTGATATTTACAAAAACGGAGTTTCAAAGGATCAAAACAGTAACTTTCAACATGCACGTTAATAACACTGCCTAATTTTGTGCCTGTGACAAAACTCTGGTTAACATCAATCAAATGGGGGGAAAGCCGCTGGGATGAAACTCAGCATCACCATTAATTTTCAGGCAGCAGAGAATGGATGCAGCCAGAGAGAAAATATTTCACAATAGGAATCTCCTGTGAAAAAAATAAATGAGGAGGAATGGACGAAGATGAAGGGCTCCATGATTAAAATGCTGATCTCTTTATCCTTCCTGTTTGCAAATAAGCTGTGGGAATCACCATCTTAACTAGATCTGCAGTTAAGTCAAAACGCCACTCAGGCGCACACCCGAGAGCAGCCAGCACTTTGGGACTAAAAGCATTGGACACGTCATGATTTTACCTGTTACAGACCACTTCTAGCCACGCCCCCTGCCCCTCTGAAGCAAATAGGCTTTGTGCTGGAAAATGCTATTCACCCATTTAGAAGGCCACCATTACCTTGGGGCACACGAGGCATAAAAGTAGTAGCAAGTAGGGGAGATTCTTAACAAGGGCAGGTCGTCCCGGTTTCATTGCCATTTCTCTGACAAAACGCAGGTGAACACATGCATGTTTCGGAGCAAGGGGGATTCTGCTCTGAGAATCTCACTGCTTCCGGACTTGTTCTAACTGGCTACCCACATTAGCCCCATCTGTGGCAAGAACAAACATGAGTTCTTAGCCTGCTTCGCGTGCTGATGTGACCTGCTGACAGCCATGCCATTCACTCACTAGGGCTATCTGACCTTTTAGCTGACATTAAATTAAACAGACTAAACATTGATTCTGTACAAGATGCATTCAAATAGCTCAACCAAGAGCATCACTTTAAAAAATATTACTGAAGTAAAAATGTGCTTTTTTTAAATAAAACTGGGTGTAATTCTGTCTACGCACATCCCAAAAGCTTGTGCATCCATAATCTTTTGCTGGGATGCTAAACATCGTTTTTCTATCCCTTTTTTGAATCGAGTCACTTGGTAACAGGGCAAAAGCGCAACACAGAGAACGCTAAGAGGACCAGAATGTTTGCAAACAAACTTTCATTATTCTAGTTCAATCTTTCACAAACATACTGTACAGAGTCTTATATGGTATAAAACAAAGGAAAACATCTCTGTCTATTCAATTTAACACAACACCAAAATAAAGCAATTAAGACTTTGGGGAATTCAAAGGTACAAGAAAACAAAAAAATGGTTATTACTAATTCCTCAGCTTTTTACGGTAAACATTTGTCATTTAAGAGACATAGTGTTTAATAAGGTTTATTTTGTACTGCGAGTACTTTTGGTCTTGCCTCACTGTAGAACAAATGAAGAATTAAGTGAACCCCATAGCATCCTCTGAAGGAGATGAAAAGATAAAGCTCCTACACATCTAGCTTATCTTAAAAAAATCTATTGTTTCTGAAATTTTCACAAATAAAAATACTGAGTCCTCAACTAATGATGCTTATTTTTGGAAACAATAAATACTGTGAGGTACAATAAATCCTATAGGAATAATAATAACAACAGAAACACATTAACAGTTTCCTTTGGCAAATTTAACGGAAGTGAATGCTGATGTGAACATAGAAAAAAATAATTACAAAACATATGAAAAATGGAAATGACATGAAAAATTAAAACAAAGGGGGGGGGTCTAACTTTTTGACTGATGAGAAATGTTTGAGGCCATTAAATGCAGAAAAGAAATACATTCTCTTGAAATTATTGTATACTGTTTGACAACATATTCCTTATCTCTTTTTTTGTCCCCCTTCACTTAAAAAAGAAAAAAAAGACAACAAAACACAGTCTGCAGTGCACACCCTAATGGTTTTGGCTGCAGAGTGAACTTGAGTAAATATCATCATTTAGTTGTATGTTGTGGTAGCTGAGGCTGCCGATGTGGTTAACCAGCTCAGGCAACATGTGTAAACATCGGAAACAAAACAAAACAAAACAAAAAAAGGTTTGGAGTATCGTCTCCCCCCCTCTTTCTCACTCTCAATTGCTTGGTTTTAGGCTTGCTTTCATTTCTCTCTGACAAATCGTGTGGGGAAACACTAAACAGTGAGAGATCCTGTTTTACACCCCCACCCCCCACTTCTTCTGGCTTTTCAGAAAGGAGTGTTGCTCAGTTCAAGTTCAGCACATGGGTACGACTTCTAAATGCGGCTGCTGTCAAACGTCTTTCGATTTTGTCTGTCCAATGGGCCTGAATCAGAGTACTCCTGGAGAACTCGCCACAAATTAGCCAGCCATACAACAGACCAGCCCGGTTCAGACTTTTTCTTTCTTTTTGAAAGGATAACAGTTAGGTCCTTGGAAATGAGTGTTCAACTCTTTTACTGTATTCAGCTTTGTTCCATAGTGAGTAATTTGGGCTTTTGTATCCTGAAATATTATCCTGCCTCTAAAGAATAAATGCCTTGGCTGTTTCACACCACATAATTTTGTTTTCCTTTTCTGTAACTTAACATAGAAGCAAGAAGGATGCAGTGTTGATTCTAATAACATTCGGCACTTGAAAGAATCACCAAGTGTTTTTTTTTTTTAAAGCGGTTTTCTGGTGGCCGACAAATTGGCCTGTGGTTATGTTGAGTGACTAATTGTATTTTCTTTTCTGGAAACTTGTGCAAAGTTGGCAGTTTTGTGTTAACACTAATACTTTTGTTTGGCATTTGTGCCCCATACTGACCAGACCATTTTTATACAAGTGAATTTTTTTTAAAAAAGACACTTACTTGAAGTATGGCAATAGTTTAAGGATAAAAAAGAAGCATGGATATTACACATCCCCTTGTAGTGTATGAAAAAAAGTGCATGACTGGATTTATGTACTAGTACAGGACATTTTAAAAAATCAGGTCTGTGCTGTAAAGCATGCCAGCACCTCTTTATCACTATATCTAGCAGGTAGTAAAAACAAGACCATGTTTTAAAAAAAAATGTGCATTAATGCTAACATAAATGAATAGAGCTAGCCAGCAAACTATTTTTTTTCCTGCATATCTAACAGCTGGATGTAACTGTAAAAATTAAACAAAAGAGTTAAACAACACCAATACAATTGTTTTACACCGTTGGCCTCTCAAGGCTAAATATTTACAGGTGAATCTGCCATGCTTTAGTTGAAGATTCTCTCAAAACCTTAAAGTTCACAAAAGACAACTATTAAGAAGTTCCTTTTATGTTTCTTTTTCTTTTTTTTCCCTTTTATTATTTTTTTTGCAGGCAACAGTCATGGGTACAACAAACTGTCTCTTTGGAGAGGGCCCAGAATTATTATTCTGTCAAAATTTGGGCTACTTGCATGTTTTATGTATGTGTGTATGTGTGTAGTATGTGTGTTTAAAGGGTATTTTGTTTTCACCTCCCAAATGAAAGATCCCACCCCTTTTCCAAAACTATAAAGGAAAAAAAATTTCCAAAGCACCTAGTGTTTATATTTTTATATCTAAAGAAAAAAATGTGTGTGTGTGTGTGTGTGTTGTGTGTGTGTGTGTGTGTGTCTGGGGGTGTGTGTATGTGTAGACATGGAGGCATACATGTGTATACACACACACCCATCCACATACACATACGTGCACACACACACACACACACACCCAAGTACACAAGCATACACTGACTATGGCAGTTCAAATGTAGGCCGTCTGGTGAGAGCTGGCATCTGTAGTGTCCGTTCTGAGACTAATCTACGGAAGTAAAGGGAATGTTTTTATGGAGATTAGGGTTCTGACTGTGCCGATTTCGGCTTCGCACAGAGGAAAACATCATGTTGCAACCGGGGACTTTGCACTTGTGCATTTCTCGCAAATGCACCGTTTTGTAGTGCACTCGCAGGGTCCCCTTGTTGCTGTACATTTTGTGGCAAATGTTGCACATAATCCCACCATTGCTCCCGGACAAGCTGCTGAACATCAGGGATCCTGACACTTCAGCCCCTAGGCTGCCGGGGAGGGCCGGGGCCTCGGCCTTGTGTGCCGACTCCCCGCTGTCACTCGCCCCGTCAAGGTCGTCGAGAAGAATCCCCTCGTCACTGCCCGCGTCGGATTCTCTGGAGGAATGGATGCTGCTGCTAGACTGGAGGCTGGAGGTGGTGCTCAGGTCGAGGACCATGTAGTCCTCCGCCATGCCTCTCCCATACCCATTCAGGTGGGAGTCTTCAGTCCCCGCGGGAGAGGCGGCATCTTCCCTGACATCGAGCCCCATGGGGTGCTGGGCTCCATAGATCTTCATCAAAAATTCATCCCGGAGGTCCTTGCTAAGGGAGGGCTGCGATGAGTCCAGGCCCATATCATCGAGTTCTTTGGTCAACAGTTTACGATGCAGATTTATGTTGGCACTGTGTCTAGGAAAACAAGAGGGAAGGGGGGGGGGCGGTGTGCAGGGAGTGGGGAGGGGTGAGAAAAAGAAGAGCATTTTAAAATGGATTCAAGCTTTCACAAGGCATCAAATAAGCACAGTCATCGCTAATTACACCATTATAAAAGCAAACAGTTCCCTACATTCTCAGGATTTGGGAATAAGCAGTGGTGGGAAGTGCAATAACGGGAGCCTTTCATTACCATGATTTTTATAAGCGAGTAAAACTCTTCAAGGGTAGGATGAATGCAACCCATGCACCTTTCCTCATTGATTGTTCTGTTAGCTTTCCTATTAATACCATGCAGCATTAGCTGCAGAGAATCTCATAGCAGAGATTTTAGAATGTATATTAAGTAGGATAAAATAATGGGAACTTTTTGCTTGTCTAAACTGAATAATTTCGATTTACCTAAATCCAAAACAAAACCTGTTTTCTACAGTAAACACTGTATTTAGATGTATCAAATGATCCACCCTTTAAAAAAGTAAATGGTCTAGACAATTTATACCGGGGGTGTAAAAAAAATGTATCCACATGATTTATATTCATCTTTCTTTTGTTATCGGTATATACTGAGCACTACAATTTTAACACAGTTTTTTTCCTTTCTTAAAATGTGTATATATATTTTTGGGGGCACTCTCTGTATTTAACTTTGCCCCTTACCTTCCTAAACTTTAAGTTTTTAGGTAGGAAAAAATATTAGCTTAATAGACTGGCAATTTAGAATAGGGTTACAGTCTCCTTAACATAAATCCTTTTTCTCAGAATTTGGGATCAGCTAAATCTAATAGTAAAATACATTTATTTTCAGAAGCTGCTGCATTGTAGAGTTAAAGATGTTTTCATTAAGCAATTCAACTTTTAAAATTTAAGTCTTTAAGACAAAAAGCTGAAAAACAGATACTGTTTTTTTAAAAATAAAACCCACCCACCATTTTGGAAAAAAAAATCACACTAAACATCAGAGAAAACCCAAAGGGACAAAAAGAAAAACAAAAAAACAAACTACACAATACAATAAATAAATAAATAAATAAAAATCAAGCACAATAATAACATACGGTCCCTGTATTTTAATGACTGGAATCCGTAGTTCTCAGACAAGCAAAACTTTTTCTCACTGAGGGCTTTGCTTGAGTTAAAAAGAGACAGGATTTGTCCCAGAGCATCCATAGGGCTGCCATGATTTATAAAGCTGATATGTTGTTATCCATCTGAAAACACTGCCTTTGTATTTACATCCCCGTTTATTTTTAAAGTGCCCTTGGGCATATACCTCTCTCCACCTGCAAAGGCTCACTTGTTTGACGAGACCTCAATGGAAGGCTATCCTTCCAAAAAATAAACCAGTAAATAAATTACAGATACATAAAAGCTTCTCAATAATGGCAGAAGCTCTACATCTTGGAGAAGTAATTGTGATAATATAAATGACCTAGAATGGCCAGTATGAAGTTCAACAGACCTCCTGATGATGAATCAAAAGTATGGAAGACCAAAATGCGTCACCCATTTGGTGACAAGCATGGCTAGTATTTCTTAGAGGTGGTTGAGAGGTATGTGCCTCAGAGACAAAAAAGGCGAGAAAGACTTCTCCACCTTTCCACACAAGACAATATATATATATGTATATATATATAGAACTCGGGGTTTTCAGGGGGAGAGGGGCACAGCCCCCTCACACTGCACTTAGGAAGGCTGAGCTTACCTTGTGATAATAAGATCAGCTTTCTAATCTTTTGCTAAATCGATCACAAAAGAAAGCAAGAATGAGAGACAGAGAGAGAAAAAGAGAGAAAGAGAGAGAGAGAGAGAGAGAGAGAAAACAAATTCACATTCTAGACATCTGGTTTAAAAAAACTTAAACAATAAAATCGGGATTTAAAAGGTTCTGATCACAAAATCATTTTCTGTCATAAGTGATCATCTCATATGCTGTCTTGATGATTTTCAGATCAGCCGCATAATCCAAAAATCATAAATCAAATTAAGAAAAACCAAATTCACAGCATCAGCATCGCCCATAAATGAGTTCTACACAGATGCATGCAGTATGTGGACATACGAATGATAAACAGAAGTTGTCCCCACGGCCCCTGCTCTGACACAGTTGCTCCCCATTTCTTTGGTGTCAGATGGCAGACAACCTCAAGTGCAGGTTGTGAAGCAAAGTGCAGGAAATGCCTACTATGAAGTCTGTACCCTGACATGTGGGTATGGCACCACCGGAGTTATTACAAGAATGTGGAAATAGAGTGACACTATGTACTATTAACTCTGTTGATAAAACAATCTGCCAACTATAAGCAGCTCATGAAATCCAACCCCTCTCTTGTTTATTATTTTTAACACCCTTCCCGTTTTCTTAATTTCACGAGCCCACATTTTGTGATGGCTGTAATCTAGAACTCTGTATTGCTTCTCACACACCTGCAGTTACTACTTCCTAGAGGCACTGCTGAGAACACAGCAGCCAGATACACAGCAGTCACATCAAGGCACATGGAATAAGGAAGAATAAATTAACATTGACAAAAGGACACACTGGTCATTCAGATGGACACATCTTTCCTAAGATGACTTGTGAAATTACACATCTCCACCGATATGTTACCAGGAAGAGATGTTTCTCTTCATTTCTCACTTACAGCAATAGGAATCTGTAATCTAATTAGGTGATGTACCAGCCCTCAATATCTGTCAACCAAACGATGTGCAGAAATGTGTAGACCAGCTCTGGCACTCTGTTCAACAGTGTCCCTTTTCCGCTGTCAGCAGTACTGTTGGCCTCGGCTAATATAATTACATTGACTTTTATTCAATTAAGTGCCATCCTTTACTTGAAAAAAAAAAGCTACTTTATCAATTGATTCAGGTGTAATGCAATAATAAAGATGAACTCATGGCAGTGCATTAGCTCTGCTGTTCATAACTTCAGTACACGGGTTCATTCATGGTAGTCGATTTCCATTATGCAACCACAGTTCAAGAGAATTGATTCTTTTATGTTCATTTCTTAATCTATTTCATTTTTGTTTAATAATCCTCCTAAATACCATATGCAAAACACTTGAAATGGGGATGGGAAGGACAGGCTGTGGAAAGCCTGCTGGTTACTCATATGACAGTGGGCTTTGAGATTTTCTAACACACACGGTATTCCTAGAGCAGTAAGAGGAAAAGCAAGAGAAAGAGGGAAAGAAGAATGGCAAATTCCTTAGTGGGTACTGATCCTGCCCTTCAAGAGGTTAGGTTCAGCCTCAGAATGGACAAAAGGCGGAACGATATTTTAACAAAGACCTACTGTCAGACTCTGGAATCAGTCAGTTGAAATCATCAGCTGCTATAAAACACTGTCCTCATGAGGAGAGATACCAAGGCCTAGGGTTAATAGCAATTCACAAGTGTATTTGGATCAGAAAACTGGAGAGATAGAAAGGGAAGATGGAAGAGACGCAGAAAGAACTCATGCCTACTGACTATCAGATGTACAGAGAAGAGGGTCCTAAAACAGGAGGAAGACAGAGGGTGCTGGAAATAGAAAGGACCCTCTAGCAGGGGAAGCAGTATGCAGTTACAAGTAGTAAGTGGAAGAAGGAATCCAGGAAGGAACCAATGTTGAGTTCTCTGAGAGAGAGAGAGAGAGAGAGAGAGAGAGAGAGAGATGGATTTTTCTAGAAAACAGACTCAGTGTTTTGAATATTTATCTCCAGAAAAGAGGGAAGGAGAATCATTCACACAAATCTAGATTGTATTAGAACTCATATTTTATAAGAACATCAACAGTAGATGAAAGCTGTTTCTACTTGCTTTGATTCGGTCGGCAATAGCGGCATGCAGAGGCAAATTCCTCTCACAGAAAAAAAACATGACTGGGATAGAGAGAGAAGATGAGTCCCTAAGTAGAAAGGATGAAGATCTGCTCTTCCTAGGGATCTGGTCTGAATGAGCACAGTAGTACTCATTAAGAGAGTAGCTCACAATTTAGTCCCAAAATGCTGACTTTTAAGAACACAAACTAAATCTGATTTAACCCTCCAGTCTCCTGCAGTAAAGTAGACTGCTTTACACATAAGAGATACTCAAAAGTACATTTATTTGCTTTCAATCAATAATATGCATGAGTCTGAAGAAGCTTTTCCCAAAATACACTGTAGAAGGAAAAACAATGACCCCAAGATTGGAAGCATTAACAGAAGACTATTCAAGCAAACACAGTGGTAACAGAGCAGAGGGTAATTCTACCCTATTCATACCCCACTGTGGTGCAAGGAAACGCTATATAATTAGGGCATGAAACAGTCCTAGACTTTGGGCTATGTGTGGAATTACAAACGTTTCCTCTGACCCTCCACACTCTTTCCTGCACCTTCCATACTGTGGGTTTACCAGAAGCCTCTTGAAGACTAAGATCACCCTTAAACACAAAAAACCTGATGAAGCCTAGATTATATAGGAGAGGTCACAACACCAAATTTGTTTTTTGAAATGCTAAGTGGAAGTACTCCAACTGGACTAAAATAGACTACCAGTCTTTTGCTGTTTCTTTAATAAAAATTTAGATCAATGACATCTCAGTTAAAAAAAAAAAAAGAAGAAAACTCTACCAAGCAACCACAGAAGATACGAAATTCATCAAACACAGTCAAGTAAACGCAAGTGCCCTTGAGAGAGAGAACACGAGTCCTGACTCGGGCTTTCCTTTTCTTGCATCTTCCTTTCCAAACTTCTTCAAATGCCCAGTTCAACTTAAGACAATGTTCAACCCATAAAAATGAAAATGAAAAACATCTAAAAATAAAAAGTATTTTGAGGTTTCAACTTTGAGATACAGGGAAGGAACTTTAAGAAAAGGAAATGTCTCCTGCCCATGTGAGATGACCAGAACATGGCGGCCAAAACTAAATGGTGAATCAAGCTGTAAGTGACATGAGAAGTCCAACACCTAACTCTTAATTCTTAATCAGTCTTGAGCTATT